CGGCCGGCGCCCCCTCCCGGCTCCCGCGCGCGCTGCAGCGGGGAGCGAGGGGGGAGGGTGCGGGGAGGGAAGAGGGTGCTGCGCTGCAGCAGGCGGTGCGGGGTGCGGGGAGGGCAGCCGCTGCACTGGGGTTGTGTGCGGAGAGGGAAGGGGGCACTGCAAGGGATGCTGGGCGGGGCACAGGTTAGGAAAGCGGGGGAGCAGGATCGGGAAGGGGGTGTGAGGAAGGGGATACAGAGGAGGCAGGAGGCTCCGGGAGCACGCGCTAGCGGTGGCCTCACCGCCCTCTCCTGTCGAGCGCATTTCCGCTCCAACTCTTGGCTCCCGGCCCCTCTCTGCATCCTATCCTGCGCTTCTGCTTCTCGGGAAGCCAGGACGCCCCTTCTGGCCCGGGGGCATCCCTTCCCGTTTCCCACGCATCTTCGGCGGGGACCTCGAGACGCCTCCTCCCCATTCTCCTGGCCGCGCCCTGCGTGCTAGGTTGAGCACGTCAGAGCGGGAAGACCGTCAGTGTTCCTCCTTGGCACCCCTTTGTCAGGCGGCGACCCCTCTCTTCCGGGGCAGCCTTCCCGCCGTGGCTAAGGCGTCCGGAGCTCCGGGACGCGCGGCTTTCCCCCAACCAGGGCGCACCTGCGCAACCTCGGCAGGGCAGCGCTCACAGCGCAAATCTACAACCAGGGGCAGCTGCCTTGCACTGGAGTGGGCGCACCGAGGCCCAGACTAGGAGGATTGAGCCCTAGCTCGACCTGGTGTGGTGTCGGGGGCAGATCTGACCAGGGGCCAGATTACTCGCAGACCACCGAGATCAGCGCAGGGCACTCCTTGGGGACAGGTGGACCAGACCTGAGCTCCAGGCTCCACCCTAAAAAAAGCCGGGCCCCCTCACCCTGCCCTGGGCTGTTTCCTTCTATTAGGCAGGCATTGCCTCTTCCCCCACCCTCCCATTATGATGATGCAAAACACCAGCTACGTGATGAGTTCGAAGGTTACTGAAGATATGACTCTGTCTTTTCCCTGAGACAGGTACCCCTTAGGTGTGGGGTTTCCCGTGGGGGTCTAGCTGTGAGGGAAGCCCAGGGAAACACGTGTGGCTGCCACTCTTGAACCAGGGCCAGGGTGGGGTGGGGTCTCATCCACAAGCCTCTCCCTTCCTGGGAGGATGGAATGCCACAGGGGGGGAGAGGTGAGCCCAGTGTGGTAGGGAAGGGGCTCCGCCCTTCACCTGAGGGTGGCCAGTCTGTCCTGGAGCTTCTTGGAGTCTCGGTTTCCTTGCCTGAAAGTTGAGACTAATGCACATGGGTCCTCGGGGCCTGCCCTGGGGTGAGCTGAGACCACGCTAGATGCTGTGTGGAGACAAGAGCCAGGCCTGCTTGCTTTCCAGGCTGCTTGAGGCGTGAGGGTCATCACACCACGTCCTGAGGGGGAAAGTGTCCCTGAAGACAAAGGCTCTGGGCCACAGAGGCCCTGGCAGAGCATGGTCAGAGTCCAGAACAGACCCAGCAGTGGGTCTGCTCAGCAAACCTTGTCCTCCCATGGCCATCTGTGGCTTCGGAGGAGGCACATCTAGGGGCCTTTAAGTAATCATCCCTCTGAGCCTCAGTTTGCTGCTCTGTACAATGGGCACAATAACAGTTGTTGGCCCTGATCCCTCATCTGGAATCCCACTCATTAGTGAGGTGTAAGGTGGCTGGTGACAGTCACCCCCAGCATGGAGGCCAGGCCTCTTGGGGACTCCACTTATGGGTTGCTAGCCTGTATTCTGTCCACTGCATGTGAGGCACGCTGCTTTCAGGACTGGATGCTGTTAGTTCCAACCAACACCCTGGGAAGGTGAGGCTCAGGCTCCATCACCTTTGGCAACACGGGGGATGTGGCAGGGGCAGGTACCAGATTTGAGGCATGTGATCCTTAAGATACTCTTGCGCTATCACGGCCACCTCACAGCAGGGTGCCCTAGCCCTTAGGAGGCCAGCACCGAGGACAAGAGCCGTTGCCATGTGAAAACAGTTATTTTCCCAAACGGTGAACAATCCTAATGATGTCATAAGCCTGCCAGAGGGCCCAAATCAAATCGGTTCTGGTGCTGGTGCAGCTCCCGTAACACTATCCAGAGACGATGACACAGCCTGGCCCCAGGCAGGAGAGCACAGAGAGCTGGGGCCTTCCAGTGGGGCTCCCTGCATGTTTTGGGGGGTCACATTCCCAAAACAACCTCTACTCAGAGGAGCAGCGAGCTTGGCAGAGAATCACACAGATCAAGGACCACCGGAAACAGGGCCCCGATGCCCCTCCCCCTGCAGCAGCATCCCACGGAGCCCGAAGCAGTAGAGGCGCTAGTTAACAGTTTCCAGGGTGGAGGTACAGGAGTGGCTGCAGAAGAGGGCCAGGCGGGGCACGAGGTGGCCTCCCCCATGCGCCTCCATGCTTGGCTTAAATCTAATCCTCATTCTTGGGCCCTCATGTCACAGCCTTCCCAGTGGCCTGATGCAGTCAAGCTGTTCCCACTTCTCTCTCTTCCTCCAAAGGAAGGACCTTTGCTGATGAAGTCATGGGAATAAAAGCTCCCTTTGCCCCCCAAAACAGTGGGAGCCTGAAATAGCTTGTTGTGTGGCCTCCCGATGGACAGGCAGGCAATCTTTGCTGTCCGCCGGAGACTTCCCAGCATGACAGCATCTAATTCTCACAGTACATGATCACCCCCATTACCCAGATGTGGAAACTGAGGCCAGATCTTGGGACTGACCCAAGGTCATGGAGCTACCAAATGAAACTTCGTCTAGATCCAGCCCCCACAGCTTGAGATCAGTAGCTCTGAAGAAGTCACAGATTCAACTCAACTCAATGAACATTGACTCAATTCCTGCTATGTGCACAGGGGCGAGTGCTAGGAACTGTTACGTGCATCCGGGGTGGGACTGTGGACAGTCGCAGGTCTGACGGGGAAGCGTTCTTTCTCACTTCTACCCACAGGGTCTTCCGGGTTATTGTCTGCTAATTGTTTTCACGTTTTCAAGAGATCAATTTTTTTAATTTGGCCTTAGCTCACCTCTCAGCCTAATGTAAGAGGGTAGCTATCAATGGCTCTGTTGACCATTTTGTCGACATTCTTAAATGTGATTGTGACCAAAATAACTTCTAGGATGTCTGTTAGCTTTGAGGACATCACATTGCCTCCTGGGGTATTTATTCCAAAGAGGGACTTACTTCATCCATGAGTATTCTCATCGCAGTTGGTTCCATTCTTCAGTTAATCAGCTCCACGTCTGGTTGTCCTCCTGTGTCCCCAGTCCAATACACACAGCAAGGGCAGCTACACTTCAGTCTGAGTGTCCCGCACTGTGCTGGGCACTGGGGATCAAAGGGCACTGATGTGTCCCTGAAGGAATGGACATCCTTACCTTGTATATGGCTGTGACCGCCCCCTTCTTAAATCTAACAGAATCCAGGTCAATACTCATACTTCCCACTAGGCCAACTGGTCAAGCAACCAACCAAAGTAGAAGTCTAAATTGACCACAGTGAGCTGTCATTTGATCAGTCCATTTAATTACAAACATTTACTTGAGGGTGTCAACTGCCTGATTCCATCAATCACCGCCCCTGCCTGGCACCGGGAAGGTGCTCAATAGTGAAAGGGTCTTGTCTAGGAGGTACTGGAAAATCCAAGCCCAATGAAATTGGCTTGAAGCTTCCCCAGAACCTGGCTCACCTGGGGACCAAAGGGAGCTGCACCCTGGCTGGCTGTGCTGGGCCTGGCTGCTGAGGGTACTGTGGTCACTGAAGGCGGGGTCTGCTGGGAGTGTCTCAGTTTACCCAACATTGAAAAGAAGACAACATGCGCCCACTGGGCACACAGGAGTGCTCTGGGGCTGGGAAGGTGGTTTCACCCTCCGTGGGCCTGAGAGTTTGCTGGGCTTCTGCACATGTTCCAAGGTTATCCATCCTCATTTCTGGATTCTGCACAGGCCCCAAACCTTCGGATGAGCCTTGTTTCTCTGGGGACTTTGAAAAGGGATGAGGAAGCCTGGGTTCTCTGTGACCGTCTGTGTTGCACCGGTACATAGTCTCCACTTTACATGAGAATCCCTTGAGTGTTTGATTTGCATACTAGAGATCTCCTGTTTGCCCATCCTGGTGCCCTGTCCACCCTTCTCCACCTGCTCCTGCCCCTGTGGCCCAGCTGGTGTGGACTGTGTCAGTGGCCTGTCTCCCCCCTGAGTCTGGTTGGTTTTGGCCAGTGGGAGGCACCAGGGGGAACTAAGGGGCAGGAAAGAGCGAGGTTGGGGTATCTGTCCCACCACTTCCTCCCCACTGGGATAGTGGCAGTGGCTGTGTTCCTTTAGCAAAGGCCCCAGCTTCCTGGCAGCCTCTCCCTCCAGCTCTCTTTTTGGAGTCAGTGGGGTGGTGACAGCGCCCCACCAGCCCTAGGGGCCTCTCGAGCTCTTGGAAATAGCCCCTCATTAAACTCTCCCCCATCAGTCCATTTGAGGGGTCCAACAGGCACCCTGAATAAAGGCAGCTCAGCTGATCAGATGGAGTGCAGTCTGGCACCCCGAAGTTGAGGACAAGGCCCTGGATTTTCTATGCTCCCCCACCACAGCGACTGCCCTACCATCGCCATGCGTATGGGCAGGAGCAGAAAGCAGGCCTTATCCTAGAACACCTCCCTTTCAACTACCCATTTGTGATCAAAACAGGTCCATCTTGACATGCCGAGTCTTTGTTTTGAAGGAACACCTGTCTGAGCACTGTCAATAACCGTCTAGAAAACATTTCAGAAGGTTTTCTTTCAGAAAGATTCAAGGACCCGAGAAACCTTCATCCTAATTTTCCCCCACTCCACCAGCCGCCAAGGTGTCCTCCAGTCTGGGGCTCATGTTCGTCTGGGAGCAGACACTCAGGAGGCCCTGCTCTGTCTGGGCCCTGGGGGCCAACTCAATTCTTCCACAAGAAACGGCCCTAAGGAGTCAGGTCTGGGAGCAAAGTGGATCTGGGTCTATGGAAGCTGGAGGGACCCGGGGATTCCTTCCTCAGACCCAGGGATGTCAGAGGCCCCTCTGGTTCCCGGTGGGTTCAAGGAGCAGCTGGGCACTGCCCCTGGAGAGGAAACCTAGGTCCAGAGGGAGACAAGAGCTCCCCAAGGCCTCAGCCGGTCAGTGCCAGGGCTGGAGTCAGGCTGATCCCAGAATCCGCAATTCCCTGTGTCCCTGTTGGAGCCTTTCAAAGGCAGAGGGCCACTGAGCACCAGTGTGAGTCCTTCGCTGTCCCCTGATTACAGACTCGGTGTACTGTTCAGTTGGGGCGAGGAGCAGGGAGGCTGAGCGAGCTCCATGAGGGGCCCCAAGTCCAAGTTGGGGGTTCTGGGCAGGCCTGAGCCACCTGTCACTCCAGACTGGCTCCTCCCCACTCAGGAGGCCACCTGGGAGCAAGACACCAACTCACTCAAGAGCTGTCCCCAGAAATCCAGGCAGGACCACCCCCACACACACCGTGAGCCCCCCTCTGGGGACCTTCTTTCTGATGAAGAGCTTTTGTTTTGACGCAAACAACCCCGAGGAACAGGGGACATCCTGGCTCTTCCTGGCCACCTCCCTGGGAGTCTTGCTGCCTTCTCTCCCCGCAGCCCCCAAGCAGGCAGAAGGACCCTCTCTCGGCCCCCACACCCCACCTCCTTCCTTCAGCTGCCCTCTGGGGGGCTGACACAGAAAGAACTGCGCCCCCTTTGCCCCCAGAAGCAGCCTTTGGAAACAGTGTGCAGGGCCCAGGGGCAGGGAGCGCAGACAGCCCACAGGCGCCAGCCCTGTGTGCCTGAGCCCCAGGGACGGCCGGATGCCAGCCGTGACCGAGTGACTGTGGACTGGGCAGAAGCAGGCCCCCAGGGCCAGGTGCTGCCCCCGCTCTCAGTTCCCTGGGCCACTCTGTATCACCCTCATCTGTGCTGCTCCTCCAAAAGCCACAAGTGGGACGCACAGCCAGGAGCCTCAGCCAGTATTCAGAGAGCAGGAGAGTTCTCACGGCGCTTCCTGGGCCCTGGGCTCCTTCCTCCGAGGCCTCAGACACCCCCGGCAGGAGGGCTGCTTCTCCTCTCTCTTCAGGCACTCAGAGGCCCAGCCCCCACTGCCCGTCAGCTCAGAGTTTGGCCTGCTGGCTGCGGAGACCAAGGCTGTGTCTTCTGACGTCCATCCCTAGGGGCCGAGCCCAGCCCGAGCCCTGGAGGGATGGTGACGCTGAGTCACAAACCAAAATGGAAGGGAGTCATCCGTCAGGGTGGGGGCTGAGCTGGGCCCCCTGCAGATGTGCTGAGGAGCGGCTCAGTGATCCTCAGTCAACCTGAAGGGCTGGGTCCACTTGGACACGTCCAGGAAGACGGCAGAGGCCCCGTGGTAAAGCCAGAGACGGGGCAGGGCGCCGTGGCGGATCCAGGCGTCGCGCCTGCGGTCATAGGCCTCCATCTCCACGTGGTAGTCGCCGTCCATGCCCTGCCAGCGGCCACCCGTCAAGTACAGCGCGTCGCCCAGCGGCACCAGCGCTCCGTTCTCGTGCAGGCTGTGCAGGGACTGCACCTGTGGATGGCCTGTGGTCAGTGTCAATGGACGGCCAGAGGGCGGTGGTGACAGGTGCCCTCAGGGTGGGGCAGGGGACACACAGAGAGGACGGCCTGCATCCCGCCCAACACGCCTTGCCAGGCACCCGCGTCCCCCGGCTTCCTGTAACTCCCCTCCCCCTCCAGGACCCCTCAGACTCTCCCTCCTCTGCGGGGACCCTGCTGCTCCCCTCCCCCCTGCACCTCCCAGGATGGTGTTTCCAGCCCCCTCCGGCTCTCCCAGGCTAAATTAGCTCATATCTGAAGTTGGGAGTCACAGGGAGGGGGCGAGGATGTGGAAGCCTGAGCCTGGAGCTGCCTCCCAGGGTGAGGTCTGGGCTTGGCCTCTGATTTTTGGCTGCTCCTTGGAGGGGACAAATGTGGCTTCAGCCCTGACGGATGTCCCCAGGGGACCCCTCGCTCTGCCCCTGTACCCCTTGCCTCGGCCCATGGCCTCAGGAGTATCGCGGGGTGAGGGCTAACAGCTTTCCAAAGGCCAGAGAGAGACACGGGCCCTCCTGGAAGAGCCTGGGGGGAAGGTAGGAGGAGGCCTTCACACGAAGACAGTGCCCAGCTGTAAGCCCCTGGGCCTGGGCGGCAAAGCGGAGCCCTGCACAGCTGGGACCCCAGCCCAGAGCAGCACTGTGGGCCGGAGAGACCTGGCTGGCGGGGCCGGCCCTGCACCTGTTTTTCTGCTGTAATGGGGGCCTCCGGTCAGCTGAGCGCTGACGCCGGGGGACAGCTGCAGTCAGCAGGCTCACAGAGGCCCTGCTGTTGCCTGGCTGGCCCTGCTCGTGCAGAGGCCATCAGGGGCTCTGGGCACTGCCCCTCCTCCTTCTCAGGAAGAAAAACGGAAAAAGACCAGGGCTCCGGTGTCCCCGAAGGCAGGTCTTGAGATGCCCACCCCCACCCCTCCCCTGTGCCCAATGGAGGAGGGGGAGGAGCAGGTCTGGGGGTGGCGGGCTGGAGGATGGGGTGCCAAGGAGCTGGCTGCTCCACCCCACCCACAGCTCAGGATCCCCTCTGTGGCTTGACCATCCCAGGGGCCAGAGACTCACTCCCTCTTGGTCCTGGCTGACACCGGGAAGGAAGTGCTTTTTCTGAGTCCACAGTGGTCCTTTAGGACCCCGGCTGAACCTGGCTTTACCCCTAAGGAGGAGGTCAGGCCACGCCATCGTGTGCTGGGGACAGACCACCTATGGTGACCAGCAGCCCGAGGTCCCCAGCTGGCCCATCCTCAGAGGGGCTCAGCCCAGGCTCTGGGGCCTTGAGTCTCCATCCACTGTCCACCCCTACTATGTCGACACCCGCAGCCCCGTGGTCCCCAGGCCTGCTCTCTGCCCTGTCAAGGGTCCCAGGGTCCCTGGGAGGCGAGACTGGGACTCACCTTCTGCCACAGGTTGGCCCCGGGGTCGTACACATAGACCTTTTTGGTGTTGTCCCCCACCAGGTAGAGCGCCCCCTGCAGTGCAGCGCAGCGCGGTGAGGACAAGTACTTGGGGAGGAAGGGTGAGGCGATCACGCTCCACGCGTCTGCAGGGACACGAGACACCGCTGTCATCAGGTGGTCAGGGGCTCCCGGAGGAAGGACCTCCCTGAGCCTCAGGGCAAGCTCCTTTTGGTGGGGGTGGGGGTGCCACCGCCTGAGCCCACTGCCCACACCTCACTCAGCCTCCCTCTCCCACAGGGGTGCAGGGCTGCCTTGGAGCCTCATCATCCTCGGATCCTCGGGAGGGCCTCACGTGGCCAGGCTGCCACCCCACCCTGCCCCTTCCTGACCGGGCGCCCCGGCCCTCTGCCTCTGTCCTGCTGGTCCCCCCCGGCAGGTAACCTGGTCTAGTCCGTCTCCTGCGGAATCTGCACACCCACCCTGCAGGGTGGGTCCTGTTGTCACCTGCATCGTCCAGAGGACGGAACAGAGGTGATGGTGAGAGACGGGCCAGGAGGGCTACCACGTCAGAGAGCCCAGCTGGGGCCCAAATCCTGGCATAGAATCTAGAGCCCAAGTTGGTGCCCACTGGGCCGTGGAGGTCCAGGCCACTGCTCCTGGCCCACGAGGCTAGTTCCAGGCAGACACAGCAGCCAGACAGCTTTCAGGACACAGAGCTGGGCTTCCCTGTCCCCTACCCTGGGCGCTCTGTTCCTGCCCCAACCCCTACACCTCTAGGCGGGGATGGGGCTGTGGCTCTGTGCCGGGAACCCCCTTGGTTTCCTGCCCCCTCAGTCCCCTGCCCTCCTCCACTGTCCCATCCACCTCCCATGGGGCTGTGGCCCTTCATAAGAGGCCTGTGACTGCCTGCTCCCTGACCCCCGGGCCCCCCATCCCTGGGGCGCCCACCCTCCCGCTCACTGAGGCGGGATCATGGCCTTGCAGGGAGGGCCTGGGGCCCCCTGTGCTCTGCCCCTGGGCCCGGGCCCGGGCCCCCCACCTGTGACAGGGTTGTAGCACTGCAGGGCGAGCGCGTTGTACTTGCAGGCGCTGGAGCCCACCAGGTAGAGCCTGCCTCGGCAGCCGGCCGCCGAGAAGTTGCTGACGTACTTGAGGGCCGGGCGGACGGGCGTCCAGGCGTCTGTGTAGGGGTCATAGCTCTCCACCTCCACCACGTCCAGAGTGGTGCCTGCAGCAGGGTGGGTGGGGGGCAGGGCTGCAGCGGGCTAGGACAAGGGATGGTTCCCGGATGTACAGGATTCGAGGCTCTGCAGAGGTCTCAGGCACCTCCCTGGGTGCCCCAGGAGGGGAAGGGCAAGAGAAGGAGAGCACGGCCCTGAGAGGCAGGTGAGTTTTCCCCGTCTTACAGGGAGGGAAGCTCCGGCTCTGAGAGGAGGGGTGTTTGCCCAAGGCCCCACTGCCAAGAAGTGGCAGGTGGGTGGGCACCTGGACCAGGGACGCCTGCCTCCGAAGTGGGCGATGGGGCCTCACAGTGAAGCCCAGACACTCCGACCCCTGCAGAGCCCAGGTGCTTGGCGAGGTGCCCACGGGAGCCCCCAGGAGTCCGCCGCCCCTTGGCCGCTCCCATGGTGGAGTCCTTCCCCAGGATGGAGGAAGTCATTCCACAGGGGAGATTTGGGCAGCCCCCGGCCAGCTCCGGAGAGCCTGGCTGTGATGATGACACAGACCAGCCGAGGGTGGGAGGCCACTGCTCTCACTGGAGGCCACCTTAGCCCTGAGAGCCCGGGGACCCTGAGCGGCCTTGGGCTTCGGCCTTGTGCATGTCCTCTACTCTCGGGTCAGGGACACGGCAGCCACTGAGGGAAGAGGGGCCAGCCAGGACCTAGGAGTAGCCTCAGGATCAGCTTGTCACCTACAGAGGCCTCAGGAAACCCTTGCTCAGCCACACACAATTCATCTCTCAATGTGCATCTAACCGTTAGCATCTCGGGGGCAACTGTGGCTCTAGGGTAGCAGGGGACAAGGTGGGCCCCATGCTCAGGCTGGGGGCGTGGTGGGGGCAAAGGTGACCGCAAAAAGTGCACGGTGGGCCCCCTCACCCCAGGGACATCACCAAGGAGGTGGCCCGGAGCTAAGGGCTGAGCCCAAGGTTCTGGGATGGGAGTGGTCATCCCTGCTGGCAGCTTGAGGCCCCAGCCCCTCCTGTGTCCCTTTCGGGAACTGACTCCTTGCCCTGTTCTCTGCACCCCTGGAGTGCATTCAACCACCCTGGAGCTGGCTGCTGAGACTCATGCCTGAGCCTCACTCCAGGACGCCCAGGGGGTGGGAGGCACGGTCCAGGTGTGGGTGGGGAGGCTGTGGCTGCAGAGGCGGGAGGGGGGTGGAACAGGCAGGAGGCTTCGGGGAGGGAGACTTACCGCCGATGGCGTAGATCTCACCGTTAAGCGCTGCACTGGCGTGGTTCGTGCGGGCCTTCAGCATGGGTGCCACGGGCCTCCAGGCCGCCTCCTTCAGCGGGAAGCACCAGGCCTGCGTTGTGGACCACGTGTCCGTCTTGGTGCCCCGAGAGCCCCCTGCTGGGAGAGGCTCTGTCCACTCGGGCGCCCACCGGCCTGGGGTCCCCGAGCCAGTGGGAGCTGGGCACCAAGTGTCCTGCCCCCTTTTCCCGCTCTGCCAGGCCTCTGTGCTGCCAGACACGGGGCCGGGTGGGACAGGGCTGGCACAGCCTAGCCTAGACCTGGACAGGCCCCTCCACGCCCCGTAAACAAGGGGATGAGATCAGTGGGTTCAAGCCTCCATCAGTGGAAGAGTTTTTTTCTCAACCAAACCTTACAAGGACCCCCGGCTTGTAAGATGTACGAGAACAGAGTGACCCCCACCCCGTCACACAGGCCCTTCTGGGGAGGCCCCTGCTGTGGGGCAGCAAGGCCACCTGAGGTTCCATGTCAGACGCAGCACGGAACGGTTCCTACGCCCTCATGTGGACCCGTGGATTTTAAATTTCCTTGTTTTCACGTGATGGAAAGATCTGGAAGAGTCTGGACTACACTGTCAGGGATCCCACCGAGAGGAGGGCGAGAGCTGGTTCTCACGGGGATTAGGTCCAGAGTTCAGGTCTGCTGTGCGGATTGAGCAGCAGAGAGCTTGGCTCCAAGGCGGGGGGCCCCCCCGCCTGCCCACCTGTAACGTAGACGTCATTGTTCAGTGCCGCCAGGGAGAAGCCCCACTTGTGGTGGTCGGGGAAGTCTGGGAGCGCCATCCACCTCTCTGGCAGGAAGAGAGAGAGGCAGGGGGTCGGGGGGCTGGGGCCGCCCCTCCCCTCCCCAGCAGGAAGCGGGACTCTGCTGAGCACAGAGGAGGGAGAGGACCCCCGGGGGAGGTGGGGTCCAAGCGGCCCCAGGTGCTCTGTGGGTCATTGCCAGACGAGGCTCCTGGCAGCCCCTGGCTCCCCACGCCACCCTCGGAGCCTGGCGCGCAGACTGGACCTCTGGTTACACCAGGACGTGCTGAGAGGTGGCCCAGGCTCCGGAGGCTGGGTCTCACCCTGACCTCAAATGGACATTTTGGCGCCTGGGTTGGGTGCCACCTCCCTCAGGTGGGAGAAGGGGCCGAGCCGCCTGCTTGCTAGCCACGAGTTGGGTATAACGCCAACATCAGTCACTCCCTCCTTTCTCATCCATTCATTCGTCCTGAGCACATCTGGGCCCATGGGCAGTGGGAGGGGTTCAGACCCTGACTTGCAGCAGGCAGATCCCAGATCTCCTGCACCCACGGTCCAGCCCTCGACAAACCCCAGCCTCAGTTTCCTCATCTGTAGAATGAGGGTAATTCCCACCTCTCGGGGGTGTGGGGACGTAGGAGACGTGTTTGTCACACGGCAGCTTCTCAGCAGACGGTGGCTGTTAAAATTATTGTCCCTAATGTGAGGACAGAGGGATGTGCCTGTGTTGTACCTGCCTTCTTGGAGGTGCATGAAGTAAACTGAAGCAAGAGAGGAGACAGTGCTTTAAAACACTCAAAATGAGACCATAAACATGGGAGTGTTTAAACCCTACAAGCAGACACATTTTGGGCGTTTGCGGAAGGCTGTGAGAGAGACCTGGGCCTAGGGGATGCCCCAGGAAGACTGTTTACTGTTCATGGCCATTTTCAGGACAGTTGGAATCCAGGCCTCGCTGGGTGCCTGCCCACTGGGCTGGGACTGCGTGTCCCCCTGACTCATGTCTGTGTCACCACAGGGTGGGGACTGCCCAGTGGTCACCAGGCCATCGCCTGCCAGGGTCCCCCTGCTGCCCTCCCCTTGGGGTCTGAGGGACAGCTGCTCCCAAGCTCATCTCCTGACGTCAGCCCCCAAATCCCCTCTCGTCAGTTCCTGAGCTAGGGGGACAGCCAGCCTCGGACTTCCTGGAGCTTGCCAGCCACTGACGCCATGGGGGTGGAGGCCACTGGCCCAGCTGCCCCAGAATAGCACCCAGCCTATCCGTGCTTTCCAAAGAGCTTCCCGGGGCCAGTGTGGCCTCGCCACAGCCCTGCCGCCCTCTCAGCCCTCCTTTCCCAGGACAGAGTGTGACGGAGTCCCCAGGGCAGGAGAGGCCACATCGACATGGCAGGACTGGCCCCTCTTCCCGTAGGCTCCTCATTACAAAGGCCATTTCTCAGATGAGGAAACTGATGCTCAAGGAGGTGATGTGAATGCTCAAAGTCTGGAACCAGAACCCCACTGGGCTGACTCAGACCCTGAGCTCCCACCCCCAGTCTGCCTGCACCCCAGGCCCCTGTGCTTCCCCTGGGGCCATGGTTCCACCGGGCACACAGGACAGGAGCACCAAGAGGAGCTGCCATCCCACCCACGGGCCGGTGGCCACCTCCCCACGGGCTGCAATCTGGGCAGCCAAGCCCTTTACTTGGGGCCCCAGGGCAAAAACCAAAGTCAGGGCTGTGGCTGGAAGAGGGGGGGCCTCAGTGCCCCACAGTCAGCCTCCCCCATGCTGGCGCCCCAGGCTCCTCTGCAGCCCCCACCCCCCACGAGGAAGGTGGACGCAGCTCATCTTGGATGCGGAGTGGCTGGGCCCGAGCCCCGGGGTGGGGAGGGGGTACTCACTGGCCCTGGTGTTGTAGAAGGCGAAGTTCCCGGGGTGGGGGCTGAGCTCCTCGGCGCCCTCCTCCTCCTCCTCCAGCGCCCGCCCGCCCACCACTACCAGAACCTCCTCCAGCTTCTGCGGGAGGACCAGCAGCGCCTGTGGGGCAGGGAGGGCAGGGGTCAGAGGGGCAGGGCGGCTGTCTCCCTCGGGCTGAGGGGCCCGGGTGCTGGCAGGCCTCCGTGGTGTTTTCTGAGTCAGCTGGTGGCCTGGGCGTTTGTGGGTGGCTGTGGGTCCCCCAATATGGCCCAGTGTCAGTGCACATGTCTAGGGTGGCCTCAGTATGTGCACGCCCGTGTGTGTCTGTGCGTGAACATGCATGCACACGCACACGTGCACATACCATAGTGCCGTGGGCAGTGGTGGCAGCCGGTGCTCAGACCTGGGGGAGAGGGGACAGCAGGTCCTTGTGTGCCCGAGCATGAGAACTGCTCCCATCCCATCGGTTCCCACATGCCTTTTGGAGGTGTTCTTGCATCATCTTTGGAACCACCCCCCAGATTCTGTCCCCAATTCTCCATATAAGTACCCCCTGCCCCGCTGGGAGTCCAGCTCCCCTGGGCCAGCATGTAGCAAGGTCACATTAGGATGCCCCGGGCCCTGCAGGAAATGCTAGAATGTTTCCACCTTGGTGAGTAAGTAGCCACTGTCCAGAGCTCCCCAGACCCCGGGGTCCACCACCTTTATGACCTGCCCTCCAATGTCCATCCAGACCTCCTGCCACCAGCAATTACAGGGAAACTACCTATGGGCGGAGACCCCAGCTTTGTGCCTGGCGGTTCCCGGTGGTGCCTGGCAGTGCAGCAGAGTATCTGTCACCACACACCCCACCACCAGCCTGAGCCACATCTTTGTCTCCAGCCTTGGCTCCTGAGAAGACCTTCAGAGCAAGGCGATGAGCAGGCGGCCTGGCAGCTCAGACTCCGGCTCCGGCTCAGCCACACCCTGGCCCGTCACTTCGTCAGGACCTGCCCCGCCCACCAGGCCCCCTGGCAGCACAGAAGGAAATTGCTCCCCGTAAACACTTGAGTAGCTTCCTAAGGGGCAAGTGGTGGCTGGCTGCCATGCCCACCCTTGCTCCTTGCCTGTGCACATGCTGTGCCATTGACCTGGGTTATTTTCCCTCCTGCCAAGCTCCTATCCTTCCTCTAAAGCCCGGCTCAGATGTTGCCTCCTCTAGAGAGCTCTCCCTGACTGCTCGCTCCTCTGAGGATGCCCCTAGTCCAGTGCCAGCCTTTGTCATGCTGCCTTAGGTGTGTGTCCCGGTTTGTCCCCTCCGAGCTGTGGGCTCCTTCAAGACAGGGCTTGGGAATGGTCAATTCTGGGTTCCCCCTCCTCTCACATCCAGGGTGTGGCCCACAAAGGGGCACAATCTGTACTTGAGGGGTGAACTGCGGCACCCTCATGGGTAACGGGCCCAAGGGAGGCAGAGATGCAAGGTTGGGGACACCTTGGGGATGCCCACTTCGTACTGTCTGTCTCCATGTAGGTGGGGTCTCCAGGGCTCCTCTCCCTGCTCCCTGCCTGTCACTCACCCCCTCGTGGCCTTGGGATAGGGCCTGCCGACAGGCCTCTGACTCCTGGATCAGCGGCTCTGTGGCCAGCAGCTGCTGCACGCAGGGCCTGGGCACGGCGTCCAGCTGCACTAGGCTGAGCAGCTCCGGCAGGCGGGCGGCCCGGGCCTGGGGGTCGTGGCGCACCCAGCGCAGCAGGGCCTCCAACCGACTTTGCTCCGGCTGCACCTGCAGCAGGTCGCTGGCC